AGTTAGCCTTGTGGACCTCGCCTCCGGCGCTATCCAAATGCTGGTTGCCGGAAAGTCGAAATTCGACCTTATTCTGGCCAACATCAACTCGCCGGACCTCCACAGCTTCCGGCTACTGCAACATGCCGTCGCCATGGACATACCACTCATTCGTATGTTTTCGAACATTTTCATATAAAATCTAACTAAAAAAATATCTTGCATAATGCACATATATACATTATAGTCAACTTAATTCGCGTTTGCCTTTTATCTAGTGATGGGATTCGAGGACAATGCAATCTTGGCCCATCGGGCCTTAGAGAATGGGGCTTACCTCTATATGACTCAACCGATAACTAAGGAATCGGCCGATTGTCTTTGGCAATGCGTGATGAGGGAAAAGCTGCGTTTGGCAGAGTATAGGGATCCGGGCCAGCTGGCGTCCGAAAACCTAAACGAGGAGTCGAAAATGATTGATAGTGAGAAAGTTTTTGGGCTTAAGGAGGAAGCTTACGAGTCGTCGTTTGTTGGCAATGTTAAGAGGAAAGTTTGCACCGAGTGGACTCAAGAGCTCCACGACAAGTTTTTGTTTGCGGTCGAGGTGCTTGGCGAAGGGAGTAAGTTTTAACTTTTACCATTTAGTCGTAAAATTTTCTCGACTTTTGGATTTTCGCGCGCGTGCTTTAATTTGTAGTGACTCGATTATTAACAGGGTGCTTTCCGAAGGACATTCTCGATCTCATGAACGTGCCGGGACTTACTCGAATGCAAGTGGCAAGCCACCTGCAGGTGTTTGTCTTTTTCGCATTGTCCGCTGATACTTTTTTCAACCCAAAAAGTGCAAAATCGAAACACAAATCTATTTCTCTAATTTTCTTTTTTTTTTCCTATCATATTTCCACCTAGAAATGCCGTAACGCCAGTTGGCGTTCCCCTGAGGAGCGGAAGTCCGACTCGGTCCCACTCTCTGGCTCAGGCCACTCGGGCCCGAGCAAGCCGAGGCGCTTTGGGTCCATGCCCAAGGTGGCTAGGAGGGCAGCCTCCAATGAGTCGGTCCATGGAGGAGGAAGCCACACTGCTGCAGCCACTCTGTTTCTGGGGGCAGGGGAAGGGTCGAAAACTGGGCCCGAGGCCCAAAATGTGGAGCACGTTCTTGACAATCTTTCTTCGTACAATCGGGGTTACGGGCCGATTGCGCCACTGCCTGTTAACGGGCCTACTGCTGTTTCTGAGGATTTGTTGCTCAGCTTCAATGAGATGGACTGCTTAGTCCACAACTACACGGGCCTGCCAGCCCATGTGGTGGCGGCAATGGTGGGCGACAATGTGGGTGGGCCGAGTCATTTCGACCCGGTTTGGGCCCACACTCATTTTGACCAGTGGTCCCAGGCTGACGGGACGCCAACAAATTTCGGGAGCGAGCAGGATTCGGAGGCGAGGTCGGGTTTTTGAATAAGGAGTATTTGAATAACAAATATGTTATAGTTTGTGTTTGTGTTTGTGTGTTTTTTGGTCTTTTGGTTTGAGTCTTTTAAAATAAACACAAGAGAATTCAACAGTTGCTCTCATGCAAGTGTTCTTGTGTGTGTTTGTGTGTTTTTGGACTTTGGTGTGAGTCTTTTAATAAAATAAACATGAGAGAATGCAACAGTTGCAGACATGCAATTGGTCTTGTGTGTGTGTGTTTGTGTTTGTGTGTTTTTTGGTCTTTGGTTTGAGTCTTTAAAATAAACATAAGAGAATTGTTTTGCTGAAATTATTGCAGCAGTTATAATTATTCTGTTGTTATGTCTTTTACCTATGATAATAAAGTGTGTGAGGGTTGTTCATTTGGTTTTACTTTGTGTTGTTTCTTTTTTTTTTTTTTTTAA